GCTAAGCATTGAAGTGCAAGGCTAGCCAACTGTTGGGCCCGATTCAATAAATAGTAATGGCCTTGGATACGGGTATCCAGCACACGGAATATTCTACATTTGTTGATCGAAGAAGGTTTTGCCCACTCCGCCAGACAGTTTTCTTGTCCATAGAGTTCCTCGGCCAGATAACATTTCTGTTAAGTACTACAAAGCTGTGTAGACCATCATTGCTCATGGCAGTCAAACGACCTTTCCAATTTCAATACTCAATTAAGTTGATATCGACCCTCTCATCTTCATTCCTAGTGGTCCAATCACAAATAGCTATATGCAGCTCAGCAGCTGAACATAGCTGATCTGATAGAAACATTAGACTCTTTTCCGGGATACGAGGAACCGTTGTCTGCCAAGCTATTTAGGAATGGAAAACAAACTTGTCCTTTATCGGCTAATTACAATATATAGTTGGAGTGTCATTTAGAGCAAAAGTAGTCGATACAAGAAGCGAGAGGCTAATAAAAGTCATACTGATTGACATATTCTATGAATTTAATGAAGAAAATTAACATAGACCACTGTTTCCAATGGTCCAGACTGCAAAATCTCCCCCTCACTAGGGTGAGTTTGTGGTTTGGTTGCAGATCGTGACCTTGCCACTTGAACTACTCAAATTGCTTCCATATTTGCTCACACTCTAGGAACTCCCTTCTACTCGGAAGCAAATTGTTTCATAGAATTTAGATTTTGACACCTGCATACGGACAAAAGTGCTTGAAGATCTGGCCCTGTGTTAATCAATTCATTCTTTACAATTTACAGCATTCAATATTGTGTTAATCAATGGATTAATCAATGTATAAAATATCTAACATTATATGTGTCATGTATGTAATTTTGGAACAAAGACTGAAGTTGAAGTCAGGAATAGAAGCAGGGGGAAAATATAGAAACGGTAGGGGTTCATTTTCATACAAGAAAGGAAGATGAAAAGAAAAACGAATAAGAACTGGGTTATTGATGAGGGGTTTTGCTTCACGCAACCGTCTGAGGCCCAATTCTTTGTTCTTTTGTCATCTCTCAAGAAACAAAACACTGGACAAATATTTAGGCCGGCTAAGGCCTACCGATAGACTAACCTACTACAGCCCACTATTCTATTTTGATATTTATTTCAGTGAGAGGACTACATTAATTAAAACTAACTAATAAAAAGGAAAAGGGTATATTGAAAAAAACACATTTATGTATTTTCCCCAGGAATGTAGCAGCAAAGGGAGGCGTGTGACCTGGAGTTGCTTTGTCAAGTCTTTTAGCAAGGGGGAGGCGGTGGCTCAAAGTAGAGACAACCATTATTCGAAATAAGGTTTGGGGATGTTTCCCATTCACCTAACCAGGCTGGGTTAAGTTGGCTTAGAGAGGTCAGGTCAGACATCACTCAGCTCACATCCTCCCTACCTCCACTCTAACCGATCCCCATACAAATTCTGCAGCCTTTCTTTGTGTTGTTTTTTTTAGTATTCATTAAATACTGACATTTTGTAAGTGTACTTCAAGGATGCACATGGCTGCTATATTCTACCACTGTAATGCTGAATCAGGACCATTAAATCTGGGTTTGATCAATCAAAGGGTGAGAAGTTAAGGAGGAGGAAGAGTAAAAGAAAGTTGAAGAATAAAGTCTCAATTCCCCTCCATTCCCTACCACAAAAAAAAAAAAAAAACTTTTGGCTTTATCAGATTGAGGGTGTAGGGTTGGAGGGATTCAGGGTGAAGATTAGGTGAGGATCTCCCTCAATTTTACCACATGTTTGACATGTCAAATCAGCTTATCATGCTAAAGATACCCACTCCATTAGCCCTCGTGCTTTTCTTTCCAGATTTAGCCCAGCAATTTCCCTTGAAAAGTTGTAACCATACTTTGAATTCTGACGGAAAAACTTTGTTACTTATTTAATTCAGGCAAAGATAAAACGAGGAAAGAAATTGGATTTCCTTTTTAACATTAACTCACTTGGTTTTCATTTTCACCTTTTGGTTAATACTAGCTTTATCAATTCATTTATGATCACAAGTGTTTTCTCTATCAACTTTCAGACCGCAGAACTGTATTCCCTAGTGTCTTTTTTTAACATCCTCCTTCACCTATTCATGAAAATGTACTGCACAATTGTTGATAAAAAAAAAATTGAAGTAAAAACCAAGCAAGAAAAAAGCCTGTCTTTTTGGTTTTCTGAGGGACTGTACGTTAAAACTGTTGACTCTAAAACTAATTCCTGGCCAAAGAAAAAAAAATTCCCAATCTGGAATTTATTAAAATAAAAGAAATAAAATATGGCAATAGAGAGAAAAAATTTTTTAAAAAAAGGACGTAACTTATCACTGACATCTGAGTGGGGCTTCTGAGTGGAGCAGAAGGTCGAGTCTACATCAGACCCGTCTCCTTGTGCCGCGAAACGCGGACTACATAAGTAGTCCCCCCCTTTCTGGATCCCTTTTTCCAACATGCCATTAATCCCCCCAAAGATCCTTCTTTCCCCATGCTTCCCCCACCCCCATTCCCTTCTATAATAATTCTCCTTTTTTCAATCACAACCGCTCCTTGATCATCAACGCCTTTCATTAAAAGGTTGGTATGCTTTTTTATTATGTTCTAATCCACACCTTAGCATTTCTCCGTCGATATCACGCCTGTGCTTGATTCAAATGGAGAAAGAAACCAGAAAACTAAAGTGGGGAAATTATTAACATAAAAGAAACCCGTTGGAATTTTTGTATATTAATTATTGACTAATTAATTAAATCACTTTTTTTTGCCAAAATTAATTAAATTACTTACTGTACTATTATATGCAACAAATATTTAGATGGTTCAAAAAATTTTAATGACTTTGAAAGAGAATTAGTGGAAAGTGATAGTGATTTTCGGACAGGATCAACGGGATGATTTGGATCAACGTTTTCTCGCTTTGCCAAAAATATCTCAATGAACTTATAAGTATTAATTTTTTATATAAAAAAACTGTAATTGAAGTATTTAAAACAATCAACTGAATATCATATTTTATAAACAATCAACTGAATAAATTGATTTACGTTTCAAGTATTAATTAAAAAAATGGAAATCCAAATAGAATGCAGCGAAAAGAATGGAGGGAGGCAGGCGCATATTAAGCGCTGAAATCGAGCGTGCGCCATCTCTTTCTCTCGGCAGTTTTAATCGAGCTTACCTTCACCTTTTCTTTTTTTTTTTTAATTTTTATATAAAAAAAACTCTGTCTGTCTATAGGAATCGTAGGGTAGGGGGGAAGAGTGAAGGAAATAAGAGGGTCAAGGGAAAGACAAGGGAAGGGGAGGCAGGTTTCCGGACATGCTGGCGCAATCACATTCCCTAAAGAATATAACACATCAGCATCCATCGGCCCTTCCTTTCTTATAATAATACCGACCTTTCCCAGCGCTCTTCTCTTTTTATCTTTCCAGAGTTTTTTTTTTTTTTAATTATTGGTTTGGTTTTATTTGGTTCCGTTTACTTCTCTTCTCAGTCCCACTGGCGTGCCCCCTCTTTCACGCCCCAATGTCGGATCTCTCTCTCTCTCTCTCTAAATTTCACTGTTTTACAACGCTGTAACTTTTTTATATATTTTTTTCATTTTCACTCACTCTCTCTCTCTCTCTCTCTCACTGTATCTTTTTCTTCGTTTGTCTGAGACTTGGGAGAGTGTTTTCTTTGGTTGTTTCGGTTCTGTTTTTTATTTTCCTTTTCATTTTGAGCTGTTGTCGGAGATTTAAAGCTAGAAGATGCAACGAACACAGAGTTTAAATTTGGAAACTTGAAACAAAGAAAATATGGTAAGATGTTTTTCTCATTTTTAAACTTGTTTTGACCAATTTTTACTTCATACTCTCTAGTCGTGGTTAGTGAACTTACAAAAAGCTTGCTCTTTGTGCTCGAAAGAATCTGTTTTGAAGGTTCTGTTTTGCTTTTTCTGCAAAAGTTTTTTTTTCCCTTTATAAAATTTCGGTCTTCCTTTATATTTCTTAGTTTTCTTGGCAGCCAAACGGTGAATCAATGTGGAGTTTTTATTTGAAGATTTAGAGGGCTGTGATAAATCCCTTGACTGGTTAACCGTGATATATTTGTTTAAAGATAATCTTAAACATGATAAACAAATTCTTTGTGGATAAATTATGGCGAAAAGATGTTACTTTTTACTTGAAGTATCTCCTTTTGGATAACAAAGTTTCCTTTGTTTTTTCAAATCTATTCTTAAAATTGGGTTTCTCTAAGGAATAATTATTTATTAAGAATTATCTATGAACATCTTTTCTTGCTAAAATTCAGAAATATCCCGGGCCTTATCCGGGGAATATTCACATCCAACCAAATCTGTGATGAATCCCATACTTCTGTCCTGAAACTGTAATTTTCTGAAGATTTTTGAATCATAAACATAGCATATGATTTTATAAATATCTTGAAATTTGGTGGTTTATACAACTCTTAACATCCTTGTTTGATTGATTATTTACTTCCCATCTTGAATAAACTGTCATTGGGTTTTCTCATACAGTTTCTTTAGACATTTTCTATGGGATGTTTTGGTAGATTAGTTTTAGTTAATAGCTTAAATGAGGGTAAAAGTAGTTTGGTTTATAGCAGTGTATGGATGAAAGTCTCCCTATATTGCGGTATATACAATATGTTGCCGTACAATTTGGTTGCAATATGATGATGTCAGGGCCCGCTAGGGAGCTTTATAAACACAAATTCAGCATCAAATAGAGAATCTTGGATATGAGTTTTATCAATTATTGTACCACATGTCATCTTTTTGCACATTGTTTTGCAGAATCCGATATTGTTTGTCCTCAAGTGCTGTATAATTGGTTTTGCTATGACAGAGCTGAAAGCTTTGTATTCAGTTATTGCTTAAAAGCCTTCTTCTGGTGATATTTGATCATATTTTAAAATTTAAGCATTCAATTTTTTTTTCCAATTTGAACCCTTTCTCCTTGTCATTTATGTGCAGTGTTTGGTAGCATTATGCTGCTCAAATTTTGTACTTCACTTTATAATCAATGCCAAGTTGTACCAGCACTTATCATCATTTATGGACGGGACACATTTATTAAACAGCATGATTGTGCATCCTCATTTTGATGATTAGCTAGACATCTGTTTATTGACCTTCCAGCAATTTCGTCGATTCTTAGTTGAAACTAGAGAACTTTAGGTGTTGTTTTTAGCTTTGCCTTTATTATTGCTATTTCTCTGTACAAGTGAGAGATTCTGACATTGTTATTCAATCAGTTTCCTCATACATATTTGCTTTCAGACTTCATTGGTACCTGGCTTATGGTATTGTGAGCAAAAGTTGCCATTTCTATGGTTGTAAACTATTAGCTATCTGAATCGAGAATATTTGGAAGGTATTTGGAGTTCTTGATTTTCACTTTTAATTGTCTGAAATTATTCTTGAGTGGCTCCTGGTCTCAATGGATCATATTGCAGAAGTTTATGGCCCATACAGTGGTAACTTATGTGTCGTGTGGTTATTATAATTCTGCATGAAGATTGGGGTTACAATTGCCAGGGCGTGTCATGCTCATGGTACTTTTCGTCAAATTTCCATGTGTTATACCCTTGGTTTTATGATACTTTTTTTAGTGCAGGACTAGTAAGTACAGTGGAGGAACAGCTCTGTCTCTTCTATGGGCTATGACATTTGTTATAAAGTTTTGTTATAAAGTTCATCCTTAATTACTAATGTCATTTAGTCCTTTTACTGATTTTTAGTTTGTAACTGTTGGATCCAGTTGTTATCACTTGCATATTAGCAAAGTGATGATTAAACTTATGCATCTTCTTGTAGATACATTATGAGGAGCTTAGGGCAATGGAAAGTGGTGTTTGCACCTGGAAATGAAGGAGAGGCAGCGTTGGAGAGCTGAAGAGGACGCTTTGTTACGTGCATACGTGAAACAATATGGACCAAGGGAGTGGAACCTTTTGTCACAGCGCATGAACGCACCCCTAAACAGGGATGCAAAATCTTGCTTAGAAAGGTGGAATAACTACCTCAAACCTGGTATCAAGAAGGGATCTCTTACTGAAGAGGAGCAGCGACTTGTAATCCATCTTCAAGCTAAACACGGCAATAAATGGAAGAAAATTGCAGCTGAAGTCCCTGGCAGAACTGCTAAAAGACTGGGCAAGTGGTGGGAGGTGTTCAAGGAGAAGCAACAAAGGGAACAAAAGGAGAAGAATAAGACAGTTGACCCAATTGAGGAGGGCAAGTACGATAGGATACTAGAAACTTTTGCAGAGAAACTAGTGAAAGAGCGGCATAGCTCAGCCTTTCCTATGGCTACTTCTAATGGGGGCTTTCTTCATACTGACCCACCTTCCCCTACACCAACTGTACTTCCACCTTGGCTTTCTAATTCCAGTAATGCCTCTGCTGTCAGGCCACCATCCCCTTCTGTGACTTTAAGCTTATCTCCCTCGACAGTGGCAGCTACTCCCCCAATCCCATGGCTGCAGCCTGAGAAGATGTCAGAAAATACCCCTGTTGCTTTAGTAAATATGGCACCCATTGGGTCAGTTCCTCCTTGTGGTGAGAACCTGCTGATATCTGAACTGGCGGAGTGCTGCAGGGAGCTGGAAGAAGGGCACCGTGCTTGGGTTGCACATGAAAAGGAAGCTGCCTGGAGGTTAAGAAGGGTAGAGTTACAACTGGAATCAGAGAAGGCATGTCGTAGAAGGGAGAAAATGGAAGAAATAGAGTCAAAGGTCAAGGCTCTGAGGGAAGAGCAGAAGGCTACTCTTGATAGAATTGAAGCTGAATATAGGGAACAGCTGGAAGGGCTAAGGAGGGATGCTGAAGCAAAGGAGCAAAAATTAGCTGAGCAATGGGCTGCGAAGCACTTGCGACTTACTAAGTTCCTTGAACAAATGGGATGCAGACCCAGGCTCGCTGAGCCTAATGGCCGGTGAGGAAGATCTATTATGTGCAGTCTGCATTCTGCTTTCAATAGACGGCATTACCGCACATTGTTTTTGATTATGCGACCATTCTCTTCTCAAATTCTACTATATATGTCTATTTATATTACTATCTTCTTATCGGATGGACACTCTGAATGAAAGTAGCATTAGCTGAACATGCTCTATCTTGCATTCAACTCTTAAAATATATTAAATTTGTATTCCAATTATTGCATGAAACAGTTTGAATCCTTCTCGGAATGGGAGGATAGGCTTGTTTTTCAGATATGGCATTGGCTTCAGGGAGATAAGGAATCTGATTTCACATACATGGGGGCAGATGTCTGTAATACCTGCCAATGGGGGGTTTGTGAATTGAGAGACGAAATGTTTGTATATTATTGTTATCTTGTTCACTTTAGCCCTTGCTTATGTAATTTGGAAATTGAAGTTGTATCTTTTTGTATTTTAGCTTATATGATTTCTTTCAAGGAAACTTTGCGGAAGATGATTATGGGAATTCATTTCTCCACATTTATGTAAGCATTTCTGTCCAGGCGTATCTACCAATGTCCAAAGTTCTATAGGGAACTTTTGCACCATCGATACTGTAGGGAAGTTCTAATTGCATTTCTGTCTTGTAATGCTGAAAAGGGAAGATTACCCTTACAAGTTAGAGCTTTGGTGCTTGTTCTTCTGATAGATCAGAGACACAAATGTGTCAACCCATAAATCCTTGACAGCTTCTGGAACGGTTTTTTCACCAACAAAGGGGTTCCACTGATCACTTTCAGCATCAGTAAGAGCCCATGTTACTTTCTCCGGAGGGTTTGCATGGTCAAACTCAAAACTGCTGGAAGCTCTCTTCCTCTTTCTCCTAAGTTTGTTCCTCGAATGCCCATTGGAGCTCCTCGAAGCCTACATATAGATATAAACGTACATTTTATAGCAGCCAAGCCGCCAAAGCGGCAGCAAAGAAGCCAAAGCTAAGTTACAATGTTATCCCCTACTCACCTCATCAGACCGATGTCCATGTTGTATTGCCACTGGTGTATGCTCATCTTTTTGCTTTGACGCTTGCTCATCAATTTCTCGTCGAGGTCGAGGTAGTTGCTGATGTTGTTTCCCTGAGATTACTTGCAAGTGCCTCCGAACAGCCTTCAATGATCGAAACTGCCTATTTGTCCCGGGCTCATAGTAATACTGCAATTGAGGATAAGCCTTGTCAAGTTACTACTTCCAAGTCCTGATTAATTGGCACATATATGAAGCAAGGCCCTGATAATTAAATGCATTTTTCTAATCTCATGATCATTATCATTTAATGGATGGTAAACATGAGAATCAACTAATAAAAGTTGCATACCTAGGTATATGTCCACATGTGCCCATGCATGCACGTGTATATATGATATATTACTGATAAAGTACGACAAATAGTATACGTTTATAAAGATATCATGATAAAGTAATGACAAACATACATATATGCACCTAAATACACACATATATTAATATATTAACGACAGGGTAACGATAAATATGTGTGTGCATGTGAATGCACGTATATATATATATATATATAATATTAATAACAAATATAACGACAAATGATAGATATATGGATGTATGAAAATATCATGTTAGAATAACAATAAGCATACATAGCTTTCATGGAGATTAGAAAAGCATCTATTGCATTTTGTTATGGATTTGGAGTCTTTCATTGAAATGAAATGAGCATATACTGTGATAAATCTGTTAACATTTGCTGCAACAGAAAGGCTTAATTTTCATTGCATGCCACTCATTTGAAGATCATAAGGTGAGTAATTTTCATGCACAAATTTGAGGAGAATTACAAAAGTAAGATCTTATATAGAATATCATATATCAAGGTGAACAAAGGCTTGTATATGTCAATAATTTTCAACAAAATAGTTTGGCTTAGTTCAGAGTTTTGGGGGAAATATCATTACTGTAGGTCTCTGAAAAATCACCATTGCCTCCTATATTTATAACTGATATAGGGAATTCATTACTTCGTACTTTTGATTAAGTTGTTTCCACGAGCCCAAAACAAAGATTTCCTATATGTCGCTTGTCTCTTTTTTTGGTGCTTCATTTGCATAATTTAATCAATATTATGAGCAATCAAAAAACCAATTAGTATTATATGTATATCACTTTCTTAGATTTGATAAATCTTACATTTGAGCCTTCAAGTCCTTCATTAGTGAGAGGAAATTGAACCAGTTACAGTTATGAAAAGAAAAGAACTTAATTATTTTTATTGAGACCAAAGGAAAAATATATTGGACATAAGTTCCAAAAGGGTCATAATCAATAGATCAGCTCATCAGCATAACATTTGCTGATCTAAAAAAGGTCAGATTGACATATCTCATTTTTTAATGCATCTCCACCAATCAAAGCTACAAAATATACATTCAAAAGCCAAAGAAAAAGAAGCAATTATTACCAAAACAAATTAAAAAGTTGAGAGATGTTAAAGCAACCTGGTCTACTTTGCCAATGTACTTTGGGGAAGTGCGGGGTCTTTGCTCAACTTGCCATCCCTTTGGCAATCCATAACACTGCCCATCTTTATAAGCAGGCATAAGTAGTTGGTAATGAAAATTATCTGCAGGTGGCTTCCATGCCAATGGTTGTGCTTCAGTTATAATCTCATCATCAGTTTCATCCATTTTGGGCTCAGTTTCTAGGTTTTCTTCTGGTTTTTGCTCCTTCTTATCAGATAATTTTTGCGTTAATGTTGAATCCCCGGTGGTATCCACCATTTCTAAACACTCAAACAAATTAAGCCTGGGTTTCAGAACAGAACTGGGGCTCCAAAGTTAATCAAAATGCAGGCGGAAGAAAATAAGTAACGATAACTATTAGAAAAAAAAAAAAGAAAAAAAAATATATAGGGAAAATCCAGGGAGGGAGAGAAAATAAGATTCTTTTTGAGTTGTCAAATACATGCAACGAGGAGCAGAGTGGCAAGTAAGGAATGTAAGAAACAGACTTGCAGAATTTGGACAAAATATTAAATGCAGTTACTTAATTAGTATTAAACCCAAATCCAAAGTTTCATATTGCTAATAACCTTTGTTCCCATATATAAAATTTCATTATTTTCGTACTTATTTTTAGTGCAATTTTATTTATATTTTGACTTGTTCTTTGAGATGTTTAATAAAAATACTTTTAAATATATATTTTTTTCATGTATAAGTAAAAAAAAAAAGTTTTGGAAAATTTGAATATATTTTAGAGGAATTATAGTGGAAAAGATTAGTGAAGTCCATAACTAGTGTTATTTAGCTACATTACTTATTTGGGGAGTTTCTTGATCCTTTTTTCTATAAATTTTTTGAGTTTATTTCCAAAATGCTTTTAACAATTTTTAATGAAAAATATGCTCTTTAAATGGCTTCCATTTTCGTCTCAGGAAAGTGGAGCTATATTTTCTAATGTAAAGCGGTTAAATCTTTCTCAATTATGCGGGCACGTAGCATGTCGTAAAATAGTTTTAACATTTTCACGAGACAGCAACTCTTCCCTTAAATGTTTCTGCTGGTTTAAGTAGATGGCTACATCTATATATGTAGACTCTAGCCGGTTGATTGATTGTTTTTACATGGTTGGGGATTTGGGTTGGCTTTTTAAGTGTTTAATACATGTGTTTGTCCCACTTTAATTTTAAAGAAGGGCTTTGCTTTGGCTTCTGTTCGGTTACGGATAATACTATCCACTCTGTTCTATTTTCTAGTGTTTGTTAAGGTTAACATCGAAAATGTCTAGGAAAAGGAATTGATATAACTCATCTCAAATTTACGAGATAATAAATGGAAATCTTCGGGAAGCCATCATCCTCCGCCATTGCTTTGTTTATGCCCTCCCCCAAAAAATGTTGGATTCATCCTTGTAGGTGAGTTTCTTTTAAGACAAGGAATTTTAATGTCATTTTCTAATCTCTTGATTTTCCTTGGTTCTTTTAGTAAGATTTTCTGCACCAAAGAAAGTCCAAAGTTTAGAGATACTAGCTTTTTCTGTTCAAATTTATTTTAATGGCCATTATATCAGGATTGGCAGACTAGCTCGAAAACCAAATTCTACCATTAAGATGTTCAATTATTCCATGTTAACTCACTTATAAATAGGTAACAAATTTTCTATTCGTGAAAAAAGGATCACATAATGGTCAGTCAATATTTTTCAAAATGGATTTAGAAGGGTGTGTGTTTATGTGTATAACAGGCTGAAAATAAATGACAACTGTTACATCTTTAATTTGATATCATCAGTAAGCCGATAGAGAACTGAATAGAATTAAGGAGAGCAAAAAGTTATTACACGGAAAAACATGATTCTGTGTTTATGGTGATTGCAAAGTTTCAGTGGGGGTAATGTTTATCGTGGTAGTTTAATCTATCTTCAAGCAAAGTGGAGCTGCAGATATTTCATCCTAAGCATGAAGACAACTGACTTACAGTCAATGTAGAAAACCACAGAAAAAAAGTATAAAATTTCTCTTTACTTTCTTGTATTTTAAGCAAAGATTGAACATATAGAAATCACAACACCATAACTTACAGTTTAAGCTCTATCTGACCCCCATCTTCGTTGCATGCAAGCAATCTTCAATATGAGAGCTACCATTCACTGATACATCCGAAGATTTTGAATTATCTTCATGCCTCTCTTTATCAAATATGAACTCAAGTTGTCTCTCCACAGACTTAAAAACAGCAGTTCTTTTAGATCTTAATCGGTATGGAGGAGATGCATTAAATGCTGTACAATTAGGTCCAATGCTGCCATTGCCTCGACAAGCAGGATTCTCAACTGAACTCCCATCACGAAATTGAGCCTGTTCCAGACTATTTTCAGTTCTTTCCTGTTCACCAGATAATTGAATCCTATCCTTGACTGTTTCCTCATTTATTTTTCCTATTCTATTAGGAAGTGTAAGCGATTGAGCTCCTGTCTTTCTCTTTCGAAATATAGAAGGTGTATTCGGGAAGCTCTTAGCAGCAATTCTGAGAATAGACTCAGGACTGTGTGCACTTAAACCACTGCCCTTCACACTAGGCGGAGTGAAGAAACTAATGGGTGATGTAATAGGAGTAGAGGTGCATTCATGCTGCATGCCTTTCTTGTTTAAATTATCTGAATCTAATGAAGTACCACCTTGCAACCTAGGTGGCTCATAACATAAAGAACCAGAGGTTGAAGTACCACACCGTACTTGTTTCTCAACAACTTTGTCTTCAACAATTGCAGAGCTGACCCTGCAACTCTCAAAGTTCATTCCTGACTCTGAGTTACAGCAGCAGGGACTTCCATCAGATGGCCAGGGCTTGCACTCTGCAGTTTCAGTATCAGCAGAGTCATTTGGAATAACCCTTGATGAAGTAGCCATATCTTGAACTGGAGCAGAGAACTCCAACCGATCTTTTCCATCTTCCTCTGGCTTACATATATCTGTTGTTCCTGATGATGTTTGTGCTGTTGAATCTGATTCTTTTTTTGAACAAACAATTAAATTTCTGGTTGTAACAGTTATATTTATATCCTTAGTCCCATTTTGGAGACCATTCTTCACAACTGGTGGAAGCATCCCTGTAGCCAAATAGAAATCTAACTTCTTCTTCAATGAACTATTCCAGTGATTCTTAATTGCATTATCAGTCCTGCATAAATCAAATTCAATATGAGCTAAAGCTAGCATGCTATTACAAAAACCTCAACTGGATTTCAAAATAATTTACCAAAATCTCATTTGTCAACTATGCTGGACTAAGCTTTAGAACCTGAACTATGTAACATGTGTCAGAAACTACAAAAGAATGATACCTTCCCAGTAAAACTTTAGCTATTTCAGCCCACTTGTTCCCATATATCCGATGTGCATCCATAAGGGCCAATTCCTCCTCTAACGTCCAAGCATCCTTCTTTATATGAGGATTCAAATGATTGTGCCATCTGCAGAAACATTGATTAAGCATGGAATAATCAAACCATTTCATTGCTTTACATGAACATAGTAGCATTAGGACACCAAAGTGGATTACCAAAAAAATCAACAACAGCAATAGCCTCATCATACAAAACTTAGTCAATAAACTATAGTACATAGTCTACTTAATAACAAATAAAAATAAAAGGCAGGCAATCATTTGAAGTGAGGGAAAATCATATCAACGTTTAAATCCTTGGCACTTCAAGGACTCTTAGGGAATGCAAATAAAAAGAAGTTTAATAAATCACCTCTCACGGCATTGTTTCCCTATCCGTCCAGGCAAAGATTTTGCAATAACAGACCATTTTGTGGGCCCATATTTTGATACAAGTTCAATAATTTTATCATCCTCCTGGGAAAAAAAACAACAGAAAGTCTAATGATTATTTTATGAACTGCAAATATAGATAGCATAAAAGAATAAGCATAAAATGCCTACCTCTTGAGTCCAAGGTCCTTTAACAAGATCTGGGTTTAGGACCTTCTGCCATCTGTGTAGACATTGCACTTCTGACCTATCCGGAAAAAATTCAGCTGCACAAGCATACGCAAATTTTAAGACCTTCAAATAGAAATCTGATACTATAATTACAACAGTGAAAAGGTCAAGGTGATGCTTTTATCCAATATGCATGACCCTCAGTTAATTTTCTGTTAGACAACATAGATACGATATAATAAATTCTAGAAAAAAATCAAATATCAGCTTTGTCACATTGGAAAAAAACAGCTGGTAGATAAACATAGCACAAATAACAAATAAGCAAACTCTTAGAATGAAGGAAACCTATTTTTTTCCAACTCTTCCCCTTAAATGCTGCGACAGCATTTCTTAATGTCTCATCCTGTAATCAATAAAAAAAGAAAATAATGTTAAAAAACAGGCTGCAGCAGCAAAGCATGAACATGAGTAAACATTGAATGAAACTTCAATTGTTCTAGAACCTATGCTAGATGATTAAACAACTCACTAGGACTTAATGATTATCTAACCAAATGATAGGATATAAATAAAAAGAAGCATTTTATATACATAGTAATTCCTATAAATTAATGCAAATACAAAGAGAAAAAATGTTTAACCTCCTCTGGTGTCCATCCACCTTTTGCACGTCTAATAGGGCCAGTCGTCCTCCTGCAGATACAGTATAACACAATTACTCTCAACTGGCAGAAACATTGTTCAAAATAATTAAACACAATGCAAATCGATTAAACAACAAGTTCGAGCACTACAAAGAAACGCTCAACAATCAGTACCGGTGCATCCACATCTAATGTAATCCATGCAATTGTAAACTTGACCAAAAACAAAAGTGTGAACATGTAAAAGCGAAATCAACAGAATCCAAACACTACATTTAACAAAACAATCCAACCCCAATTGTGATGCAAAGAACTACAATATTATGAAGCAAGTTTAGCTATAGGCAAAAAAAAAAAAAGCTAAAGAAGTTATTAAGGGACAGTACCGCTGATTTGGTGATGTTGGAGCAGGACTGGATATGCCTGGGGACTTTACAACTGCACTGCCACCGCCTTCGGATACAGAAGAACTTGATGCGGTGGTTAATTGTTTATTCTCAAGACAACATTCCTCTATCTTTAAGTCAATCATCTCTTTCTACAATCATCTCCAAAACCCCAAAATTATAATAAACTAAAAAGACTAATAAAGAGAAAAAACCAACAAACAAACAAATAAAAGGAAAAACTTTAATAACTTATTCATGATGACTCCAAACCCTTAAAATTCCATCTTTTAACCAAAATCTCCAATCCCACCACCGTCAGACACAGAAAAAGACAAAACCCAGATCTTAAATTCACTAATCAGATAAAAACAAATCAAAACACATAAAAAAAACCAACATCCCACATCACTTAAAAATAATTCTAGGGTTTAAAACCACAAAAAAAGTAAAAACCCAATAAAATTTTCACGAATCCAGGGTACTGAGGTTCAAGAAACATGATCAAAGCAGCGAAAACAAATAAAAAATTAAAAGAAAAAAGAACCCAAAAAAAACCATAGAATTCTAATTCAAGAAGCTAAACTCACCTGAGTGGCGGGAATCAAACTCCAGCTCCTTCAAGAAAAAACGTTTTCAAGCCAAACAAAAAGAAAAACGTTTCATTGTTAAAAGGAACTCCAACGTTGCTTCCTTTGTTTCGAAAAATCCTCGCCCGTTGAAACTGAGAGAGAGAAAAAAAAAAAAAAACACAAAAAGGTGAGTAAATATTAAAAATATAAAAGTGAAGGTTTTATTATAACGAATATATCACCACCGACGTCTCCGTTAGCTGCCGTTATGGAGAATTAACGTTTTTTTTCAAAACCTATCGCTTAACGGTTCTGAAGTTAACGTTAGGGGTTGGGTGGTGGCAAAGGTTTGAACCTCAAACGGCACTCTAGCTTTGACAAAGCCCCACGTGTTGGTTAAATGTCGAACAAGTTTGGCGAGTGATCAAGCCGCCATGAGGTTTCGCGGGTATTTTTGAACCGTTGGATTTAGGAATAGTGTTCGAGGTTTTAAAAGGCGGCGAGAATAGAAAGTTACGTTTTAATTGATTTTAATTTTAGCGTTAGCTTTTTGGTTTAATGATTAAAATGAGAGTTTAAATTTCATCTTCTTTCTTTATTTCTTATTCGATGGAAAAAAATTCAATGTTGATTCCAAACGTCTTGATGATTGGAGATCAATGGTGGGTAATTACAAGCTTTTTTTATTTATTTTTGTTTTATTTTGGACCTGCTGGACTGTGAAAATAAGCACTTAATTTGATCAAATTCACTGTGTAATTTCTAAAGTAACCACAGTAAATAGTAAATTTAATTAGCACCAGATTATTACTTAGGACTATTATTATTCTATACCTTTTGAAAAAAAAAAAACTATTATTATATATGAGGGTGGAGTTTGAAAAGGTTTACTATTGAATTATAATATTATTCTGTATTTTTTTAAAAAGATCACAGTTTAAAAATAAAGTGTAAAATTATATATATTAAAATTAAATTTTAAACTTACTAATTGTTTTATTAAATAAATCGGTTAAATTAAATTTTAAAATTATTATAGTATATTTTTTATTCATTATATTTGTTTATTAAATATTTTAAAATATATTTGACAATCGCCCAAAGAGATGGGTGAAATTTTTAAATTTCAACAACAAGGCATGACATAGTTTTCCTATTACTTAATTAGAGCTTGCAAATTAGATAATCAAGTGGTCAGGTGAAAAGCTAAAATATTTAAAAATTAAATTTCCTAGCTTAGACTTTAATGAGACTTGACTTTTTTTTTTCTAATGTTAAAAAAATGAAAAACACTTTGCATAAATAACTTGGGAGGTAGGATGTCAAATTATGGGGACTCTTTTTTTTTTTTCAATGATAGACACATCTTGTTGCTGCTCTAGTTTGAGAATAAAAATATAATTTATAATAATATTATTCATATAAAAAGGATCATAATTACAAGATTTTTGTCCAAATCTCTAGGCCAATGCCAAAGGTAGAATTGTTAGGAATCCAACTTCAACTTAAAAAAAAAAAAAAACATTTTTTTAAAGAAATATGTAAAATAATTAAATTAAGTCCCAAATTCTTTTTTTTTTTTTTTTATCATTTGAATGAAGCCCAAGTGGCTCAAAAATTTACTTCATTCGATTTGGCTTTTGGCAATTAAGGAAGGTGAAGGTCTAACTAAGCTCTTTCTTGGACATTGTCTTTATGTCATCAACAATTGGCCTCCAAATGCTGTGTTTTGAGGATGTTGTCCTGCTTTTGACAATTTGGAGTTTGAACAAAAGAAAATTGTGATATTTTTTTAATCTCTGTTTCTTGGCCTTATTGCCATTTTCTAACATTTTCCATTATTGTTGCCAGGTTATCAATATTAACTTACTTTTTTAAGGGTTAAAAATATATTAGGACAAATTGGCTTTCCATTTTCCAACACATCTCATTGTCATTGTCATTGTCGATCCCTCCTCAAACTTTTTCCAATTACCCCTTTAGATCTTAAAGGAAATAGGTGTTCTCGAAACACTCATTAACCTATTTATTTATGTTTTCTCAAATTACAATCATGAATTCATGTGATACATAAAGTATGTTCATTTCACTTCTCCTGACATTCCTTCGTATTGTTAAAATCCCTTAACTATACTCCTTCATTTATTGAATATCGAATTAACATATTATCATAGTTTAAGTTAATTAAAAATCACTTGGACCATCTTAATATCGATCGTTGATTTACTATTAATTTATAAAATTATCAAAAGATTCGAGTATTACCTAAAAAGAACAGCAGCAAAAAGAGGGAAAAAGAACAAAAGTCTTTTGCCCATTTTTCAAAAAATTAGTTTACTTTTAACAGGTAACAGAAGTAACGGGAAAAAGGCTCCTATTAATTACAGAAAAATTTGCTCATAGATCCTTTAACTTATAGGTAATTTGAAAAAATTCCGTTCCGATGTTTGCATTCAAGCCCTCTCGTTTTCCTCTATCTTTATTGGAAACAACCGAGATTTTTATTTTTAATGATGGTGGACCCCACAAACCTAACGGACGAGACAAATTCAAATGACCTTCCCTTGCAGTTCCCAACGGTCAAATCTTTTAAATTCCAAAATCCTCATCTAGAAAACGTTGTTAGTCGTTTTTGTTGTCTTGTCAACTGCTCTCTTTCTCTAACATTTTTCTGCAAAAATTTCCATCTTACTCCTAAAATTTTCTGTTTTAATGGAAACCCAAAGTGTTACACTATGTACTCCTTCAAAACAAGCCATCGTTTCTAAGGTCCGGGTGGTTGTTAGAGTTCGTCCTTTTCTTCCTCAAGAAATTGCTGCAAGAAATGGCAATTCAAAGTCCTGCATTTTTCTTCTTGATCAACAAGAAAATGACAATTATGATGAAGTTTCTGTTCATCTCAAAGATCCTAACACCAGGTGAGAGATTGATTCTTTTGTTGGGAGGGGAGGGGAGGTTGATGTTTGAGCACAGGAAATTTATTTGGCTTTTGATTATGGGTTTTTTTTTTTTTTTTTGGATCGTAGCCGAAATGAATGTTACAGATTGGACTCTTTCTTTGACCAAGAAGATGATAATGTCAGAAGGATATTCTACAGAGAAGTCAATTCTTTGATTCCAGGAATCTTTCATGGCTTCAATGCCACTGTGTTTGCTTATGGGGCTACTGGTAGTGGAAAAACTTATACCATGCAGGTATGGTGAAAAGAAAAGCTCTTATTATTTCCGAGATTTACTGCTTTTATAAGGTATCACAGCTTTGTAGCCAAATGGTCTAGTGATTTAAATCTTTAGGTGTTTCAATCCCAAGGCCTTTGCTAAGTCCAATCTTTCGAACCCCTTGATCCTTACAATTAAATTTTTAATTAAGTGAATGGTTCAGTTCAGCTTCTTTCTAATTACTTGTCTTTAGGGTGATATTATGTTAATGGTGAAGAGATGAGGGGATATGTTTGATTTTGCAGGGAACAGAAGAGCTGCCAGGTCTAATGCCTTTGGCCATGACCACAATTTTGTCTATATGCCAAAGCACAGGATGCATTGCGGAGGTTTCATACTATGAGGTCTACATGGATAGGTGTTATGATCTTTTAGAAGTCAAAACAAAGGAAATTTCGATTTTGGATGACAAAGATGGGCAGATTCATCTAAGGGGCCTATCTCGGATACCTATTAATTCCATGTCTGAATTTCATGAAGTATTCTCTTGTGGAATTCAAAGAAGGAAAGTTGCACATACTGGTCTCAATGATGTTTCTAGTAGAAGTCATGGTGTCCTTGTGATTTCTGTTTCCACTCCTCCTGGTGATGGTTCTGGGCCTTTTTTGATGGGCAAGCTGAACCTCATAGACTTAGCAGGTTGTTGATTCAGCACATTTTGAAATTTTTGTTGTATTTGAGGTAATGTCTAGCAGGTCACATTACTAATTTGCATTATGGTTTATTAGGTAATGAGGATAATAGGAGGACCTGCAATGAAGGCATCCGTCTCCAAGAAAGCGCTAAGATCAACCAGTCCTTATTTGCTTTGTCAAATGTAATTTATGCATTGAACAACAACAAACCACGAGTACCCTATCGAGAAAGCAAATTAACTCGAATATTGCAGGACTCTCTTGGAGGAACTAGCCGTGCCTTGATGGTTGCTTGCCTGGTGGGGATTTCCCAGTTAGCCCAAAACATGTACCCTTTTGACCCATGTTATTTACAAATGTCCCTTTTTTTTATCAATGTTCTCCTTGTTTCTTGAACAGAATCCTGGAGAGTACCAAGAATCTGTTCACACTGTTAGCTTGGCTGCTAGGTCTCGTCATATTTCAAATGCTATTTCTTCAGCTCGAAAACTTGAGACTCCAAAGGATAAAGTTGATATGGAAGCAAAACTGAAAGCCTGGCTTGAATCAAAAGGCAAGACAAAGAGTGCACAAAGAATGGGACCATTTGCTTCTCGATTCCTCAGCAAAGCAAGCTCTGCGAAGAAGCTTAATTATAACAGCTCTTGTAAAGTCAAAACTTCTGCCAAAGATTGTACTTCTAATGCCAAACACAGGTATAGAATAACTAGTAGCATTTGAATTTCCTCCTTCAGAGCTAGCTGTGTTCATAGACAGATTCACTAGTTGATTCGTTAAACATATATGCAGTGGTTTATCTGTGACTTCCAGAAATTTATTCAACAAAGAAGGTGTTGTTAATTCTTATTTGGAGGTAAGTTCTATTAACTAAGAAACAGTATTAGCTTTTACTTTAGTTTTTGCTTACGCTTAAGCTATAGGAGAACATTTTTTCTTAAATCTACATTTCTACATTACTAAAATGTCAAAGTACCATTCCAGAGTTTCCATGTTTCTGTTGAGGGCAATGAAGGGGAAACTGGAGCTGATTTTGAGGAGATTATGTTGGAATCAACTATGAACTTAGCTGGTATGTTATTTATCTATAAGATTTATGGACATCAATCTGTCTGGACTGCCTAGTGCCTAGTGCTGAATTAATCAAAACTTTTGACCTTTTTTTTTTTTTTAAGTGATTGGCAAAAAGTTTCTTATGTTTGCGTCAATTTGTAGAAGAACCATCTAGCAAGGAAGAGGATACAACAGTCAAAAACTCGGTTGATACCATTGAATTGTCCCCAGTTAATGAGAGGAAAACTGCAATGCAAAGCCCTCTAAGAAAGGTCCTATCCCCCATTCATTCCAATATAATTCCAGAACCCCTCAAGGAACGATCATCCAAGGATCAATTTTCGTTATTATATGAGCCACACACTCCCCAAACGCCTTCCATCACCAGTGCAACCAACAAATTCCAAAATGTTGGCACCCCACTTGACAAATTTAACGTATGGAGCTCTAACTTGAAGGTATTTATATAAGTCTTATACTACCTACCAAATCCCTATTAACCCTATTTCAGCCGTTGTTCTGACCTCATAAAATTTTTGTGTAGAGCTCTCTTATTCAAGAATATATTGAGTTCTTAAATACTGCTAGCAGGTTAGTTTATTATGTCAGAATCTCTTCATTTCCTACATATTAGCATTGTCTTCATTTTATTTGGTGAAAAGTGAATCTGATTTTCCTCATTGGCTACTATATTTGCAGAGAAGAGTTACTGGGCCTAAAGGTACAGTTCAGCTGAGTAATACTATTCAGATAACACCTTAATGTCCTTGTTTCTGTAATTCATTTGTCATTTTGTATATGGTTTAGGGGATTGGATCGAAGATGACCGAGTACATAATTGAACTCAGAGAAACCAGCCCTTTAAGATCGGTAAGCAAAGAGTAGACTTTTTCTACGCTATTTTCAAACAAGTTGTTTTAACGAGTAAAACTGAGCAGTCACTTTCGGTTTGTTGCAGCTAAGTGACTTGGAAAAGATTGGCCTTTCATCAAAGCAGGTAACAGAATAATTCTCATTTCCCACCATAGTCATGAAACAAATATGACCAAAGGAAACTAATTTGCTTATTATCATCATCTTTGCAGGTTTACAACTTGTTCAGCAAAGCTGCTAAAGGAATATTTGATAGACCAGAAATTGCAACACCAAGAACCAGTTGTTCATAACAAAGGATTGCATTTTAATCTTCTCTATTGCAACGGTCTGAGATTAATCTAATAGACTTTAATGTTGTTTAAATTAAGACAAAATGAGGCCAATCTTTAACATTCTTCAAATCATTATTTCTTGCTTTGTCACTTCAGATTGTATTAGTAGCATTCTTGAAATCATTTTCATGCAGTACATTTACTATTGTACTTCAAGTTAAGTTTAGAACAGTAAAATGTTCTTATTGCAACATACTTTCAATCCCATTTCTGTCCAGACTCTAGAGACCCAAAATTTACCAATCATTTATTTACATGATAGTTTCCCAGTATTGCACTTTACAATACGTATTCCCATGTGCATAGCTATAGCATCATCCCGTGTTAAACAATGTTACGTCCATTTCAACTCATCCCGATGGCTTAATTAATGGTTACCTGTGTATCCTTTTTCATTGCCAAATGAAATTGCAGGAACATGCATGCCGCACAGTTCACAGTAAATGAAGGACCATTCTTCCATTATTTTCAGTCATTTAAACTGGCAAGAAAGTCTTCGTCTTGGGTTTTGATTTCCATCCGAAACCACACACCTCAATTACAACTAAATGAAAATCATCTTAAAATTCTGCATCCAAATCCCATTCCTCATCACAAAAATCACATCGAAAAATCAAAGAGAAACACCGAGCTTTCAGTTCATTCATTAGAAAACTGACTTACTTTCTTACACAAAACATAACTAATCATAATATATTCTGAGAAAGCAAACACGCTCACATTGGACATAAAAACTAGTAAATACTATTACTTCATTATATCTATTTATATGAAGAAGATTTACTGATAGACAAGCCATGGCTACTTTATTCTAATAAAGCCAGAGACTCAACTTCAAAAACATACTAATTATTATTTGTTAAAAGAGAGGCCAGGGAGTTTTTTTTTTCTTTCATTATTTACAATTGCAGGGGTTGCAAGTGCAGTTGTCCCCACACTTGCAGCCGTTCTCAGCCCCAACTTCCATCTCAGCTCCCTCAAAGTGCCTGCATGCAATTAGAAAACAGGGATCAGAAACCTTAAAAACTTTTACAAGCAAGTTCTCTTTTTCTTGTCTTGATCTTTCCGATACGTACGCTTTGTTAGGTGCCACGCCAAGAACAAGAGTCTCGGTTGTGGTCTTCTCGGCAAAGCTCATGTCGGGGTACATCTTGCATCTACAAGATCAAAAAAAAAAAAAAACAAGTAGCAAGAAAAGCTTGATCAATGACAAAAATACACGATTTTGAAGATACTCTTCAATGGAAAAAAAAAAACAAAATTTTAAGTCATTTAAAAAGCATAACTACAAGAAAGAAGGGAAATTTTCACAGCAGGACTGAGGAAAAAATGGTTTAATTACCCTCCACAGCCACTTCCGCACTTGCAGCCAGAGCCGCAGCCACAGTTTCCTCCACAGCAAGACATTTTCACTTTTCTGATTTAAAAATTTAAAGGATTTTGACGCAAATAAAACAGCTATGAAGAGAGAAACACTTGAACGGGTTTGCTAAAAGCCATAGGCCTATGAATTTATCGATCGGGAGAGACGAGAGAAGTTAAATATCAACCGTCCACGTGTTATGATATTACGTCATGTTATCCGCTTTCCAATTAACGCTTTACCGGCTCTTCGACGTTATCTGTCGATGTTATCTCTCTCTCCTTTTGTGCTTTTCTACTGCCAGTGTGGACTACTATAGTGTTTTCTACGTTTTTCCTCTTACTCATCATGACTTGCCGTCCGATCTAAGTAGGTTTGATCAGGAGTCAGATCAGTGGTGATGATTTAGGTGATGGGCCTTTGAGACGTGTTTCTTTTATCTCCAATTTCCAATCAAGGGTCCACATTAATTTAACCCTTTGGTAATCCTAACCTGTTTAGGTCAAGTCATCTAACATACGTTTATTTCTAAAAAATCATGCATTTAGTTTTCTCTACAGAATCTTTTTTATTGATTTTTTTTCTTTAAAAAATAATATTGAATTTTTTTTATATTTTGATTATATAAATTCTCTTGTATGATATGTATGTTTAGATTATTATTAGTTAATACTATTATTTTTTATTTTATATTACATAAATTTAATTATTTATGAATTTAATAATTTATAAATTTACAATATTTATAAATTTAATTAATTAAAAGTGATTTTATTTTTTATATCATTTGAATTTTAAATTTAAATTCATATATTTATTGAATAATATAAATAAATATAAATCAAAATCAAATTACTTGAATTTAATTATTCATGAACTTAATCATTAATGAATGTTTGGTATTCATGAATTCAATTGACTCCTATTGAATGTGGATGAATGTAATTAATATTTAATATAATTTAAATTTAAAAAATCAATTTAATAATATAAATATCTGTAAATTAAATCAAAATTTAATATTTCAGTTTCATTTTATTTTATATTTTAATATTAAAAAAGTATAAATTATTTATTTTGAATCATTAAAAAATTAAATTTATGCATTATTATAATTTCAATTGAATAAATTTATTGATTTATTAACATTAAATATTATTTTATAAATATCTACTATTTATTCATATTAAAAAATTTGTGACCCGAGGTAAGTTTTCTAGTTTGGTATTATTTTCATGTGACATTTTAATTTAATGTCAATTTTTTGCTTATTTGAATTTTGGAAAAAATTTAACTTCAAAAACAAGAAACCAGAAGTGACATTGGTCATCAGTAAGGGATTAAATTTATTTTCTAATGCATAGTAATTATAGTTGATAGGTTTCTTTTCTAACATGTTAGAAAAATAGGAAAGCCTAGCTATAAATATCTATTTACATATACATTTTAATGCTTTGGTTCCTTAATCCTTAGCCAACAAAAAAATTTATTTACTGCTCGAGGCGGATGCTAATCTAAAAATAGAATGATATTTTTAAAATTAAAAAAACTAAAATTTTAAAAAATAATTTTTTTATTTGATATCTTTAAATTTTTTCTCTAAATATATTTTTTTTGTAATTTTTTAACCACTTCACTCATTACTATTGCTTAATACTCAGCTCATAACTAATAAGTAAATACCCAAAAAAATCTTGACTCAAAGTGGTAAAAAATTCAGTTTTTTTTAAATAAAGTCTCGATTTCGAGTCTTATAAATAAAAAAAAAAAACTTAAAAGAGTTTACTCTCCTTATAGAATCTGACCTAATTCGATTTTAAATTAATTAAAACTCAAAATGACTTTCAAATATCAAAAAATTCAAAAACAAAAAAATCCAAAAAAATCTTAATTATATTATTATTTATGATAATAACAATTATGTGTCACGAAAAGTATGTATTTATTTAATCATTAGGGAGTAAAACAATTTTTTCTTTTAACCTTAATATCAAATGTAATAACATTCTTCACTCAATTCAAATCATTTTTCACACTCTCATTAGAATAATTTTTTGATTTTACTAAACAATGTATCAATAAACTTAGAAAAAATCAGCTGATCATAAAGAAAAATTAGTTATTAATGAATTTTATTTCAATAAAGTGAGACATTTTTTTATGAAATTGTATGTATTAATCAAAACTGCCATCATAATCAAATAACTTTTAATATATATAAAAAAGAAATTAATAAACAAATAAAAAAACTTACAAATTAATATGTATTTACTAAAACACATGCTTTGTAAATTTTGAAATTTATATTTAAAAATTTAGAACTTTTACTTACCAATTATTATTGTCTTATAAAACATGCGCGTGGTCGGTTCATTTAAGATTTGATTAAAAATTAAATTAAAATTTTTCTTATGACAATGAGAAAAAAATAAAATTTGAAATAAGTTGGGCATAATTACTGTAGCAAAAATTATTAAAATAAATTATTATAAGAAATTCATAATTTCATAAATATTAAGCTCCATGTCCTACCTTTATACAAAAAAATTTATTTGAGCCTTAAATACCAATTAAACTCATTTATGTTTGATAATTTGTCGCGAAGGCAACCGATGATTTTGCCTCTGGGTTCCCATGAAACCTTGCTTCGATCAGTGAAAGGCGGCTTCTGATCTTCACTTGACTTCAATATTCACGCTCCATGGCGCGTTCTTCAATGAATGCTGCACTTAACAACCTGACAGTGCTTTCCACGCTCCTTGAATGCGAGTGTAAGAATAAAAACTCCTCGACAATATGCGATACTAAAAGTGAAGATGTACTGAAACAGAATCTGCCGAACAATCAAAATCGTTAGTTGACAGCTCTTAAAATGTATGAAATAATTGTTCGGCAGATTCTGATAGTAGTTACTGAAATAAATATTTATGTTGATAATTTTTTTAGATATATAAAATAATTTTTTAAATTTTTTATTAAGATAATACATAAGATTTTTAATAATTTTAAATTATTTATAAAAATATATTTTAAAAATTTTAAATTTAATTAAAAAACTAATTTAAATTTTAATAAAAAAATTTTTGTACATCATCTAATCTCAATTTTTAAAAAATTTTAAAATAATTTATCTATTTAATTTATCTATACTTAACATAATTATTTAAACTTATCAAAATTTTTAAAAATATTATTTAATATCTTTAATATTTATCATAAATAAAAATAATTATAATAAACAATCTATCAGCTTTAAAAAATAAATTTAGATATATTTAAATTAAAATAAAATTTAAATTTAAATCAATAATTGTCATAAACTTTTAGTATTAATGTTTCAAGAAAATATTAAAAAAATATATAAATATCAAAACAACTTAGAAAACCCCAATTATTTGTAAATCTTAATTATATAATTTTTTTAATGTCCCATGAAGCATATATGCTAAACGTATTTTTTTTACTATTAATTTAATCTTTTTTTTTATTAATCTATTCTATAAAAACTAATATATTTATGATAATATGTACTATTTCACTAAACATATTATTTATTTTATCAAATAAGATTTTTTTTAAAATCAACTACAATATTTTTTTTATTTCTCAGTTCATAATAAATTTAATTAAAATTTATTTAAGTTAATTGTAAATACTTTAATTTGTTGAGAGTCTATTAAGATTAATTCTGTTAATAAAAAATATAAAAAAATTAAAAAATCAAAAATTAGGTGATAAAGTTTGATTGAAGTTGAGTATTTGAATTTGAATTGAATTTAAAAATTGAAGTTGAAATGCAAAAAGAATTTGAATTTTTGTTTGGATTGAGATAATGTGATTTTGATTTTATAAATATAGACAGAAAAGCATACAAAAGAACACAGGAAAGATAAAACACAGAAACAAGCGATCAAAGAGAAAAATCACACAGCAGTATTGAGAGAGAGAGAGAGGGAGAAAGCAATCGAGCAAATCCCAGTAAGCATCAATTATTTTCTGGATAGTACATTATCAGTCAAACCTTCCACCTAATTCATTCAAGCTACAACCTGCCTCGTACTGTTACCAGTAGCCACCTGCCTATATTACCCACCATTTTTTTAAGGTTAGGTTTCTGGTACTTTTTTGCAGAGAGATAGAAGGAGAGAATGTGCTAGAAATAATAAAAAGAAAAGTTTATTTTTTTTTTTAAGAAACGATGCAGGAGGGGTAAGTGAAAAAATAAGGAAAGTAAAGTGATTTGATAAAGCTTGAATTGATTTGAAGATTTTTCAAGGAGTTTTACGTGCTTGTCTTCATTTTAGTCAAACTTTGATTTTTTTTTTAATTTTTCTAAGTTCATCATTCTTTATTTGATTATTTAATTACTTTATTTTATGCATAATTCTTGAAAAAGTATTTTTATATTTGATAAGGACAAAATATATAATAATATTACATTTTGGTATTTATTTGATTATTTTATTTGTTTATTTATTTTTAAATATTTTTACATGATTAAATTTTACAAAAAATTACAAAAAAATTTAAAAAATATAAAATAAAAAATAAAATATTTTTGAGAATAAGTATTAATTATCCAATAATAAAATTTATAAAAATTTTAAATGGTAAATTTTTATAAAATTTTTTGATGAAAAATTTTATCTAAATTTGTTCCAAATGATGGAATAATTTAGATAAAGTTTCAATAACAATAATTAATATTTATTTTCAATAAAAAATAAAATAAAATAAAATTTTGGTTGAAAATATGTGATAATTATCCAATGATGAGATTTTTTAAAATTTCAAATGGTAAATTTTTGAATAAATTTCTAGGTGAGAAATTTCTTTAAATTTATCTCAAATGATGAAAAAATTTAAATAAAATTTCAAGAAAAATAATTGTCATATTATTTTCTTTCAAAAAAAAATTTTAAATAGGCTCAAATGGTGAAAATTTTAAAAAAGAAAATATTTCTAAATTGAACCAAATTGTGAAAAATTTAGAAATTAAAAAAAATAAATAAATAAAATTTCTAAATAAGCCTAAATAATGGAGAATTTAAAAATTCAAAACACGAAAATATTTTTAATTTGGCCCAAACGATAGAATAATTAGATATATTTTTAACAATAAAAAAATAATTAAAC